ATGCGTAGTACTAGCTGATGTGAATGTCGTCGGCGGCGGTGAGGTGACTGGATGTTGATTCGGTCTTGATTTTTTTTTAATTTCAAAACCAAGCTCTAAAATGAAATATAGTACAGAAATTCCGACACCGCTGGTTAATAGATACTCTATTATATTTGGTTTATATGGTTTAGGGGCGTCTGTTTTGAACAATGGATTAACATTTAGGCCTTTGTGGACAGGTAGGTTTGTGGCCTAGAACAGGGCCTATCCAGGCAATGTTTCGGAACTTGGTTAGGGCCTGGCTGCCTGACATACCTAGGCTCGCCGTAGCCCATACATAGCCGATCATTTGGTTGGGTCATATAGGCTAGGCGAGTAGGGTCGGGGGACTTCTTCGGCCGCGCGAGATTTAGATGGAGCGCCAGTTGGGCATTTCTCCACACCGCATGCTGTGCAAGCCTTTGCTAAACTAAATAATTGCTGTCATGTCGCACAGTAATATTTACGTATTTATTTTAGGTATTGTATGGAAGAATTGTAAAGCTTCAGTATTCTATTTGTTTTACAGAACAGTATTGTTATTCATTATACAATTTGAAAAAAATACACTACAAAATGCATTTTTTACTGTATTTTTATTCATATTTCGTCAGTTTCCTTCAATCCCTAATATAAATCAGAATAATATGTCGCTCTTATATAGCGCTTCATGCACAATGCCTCTAAGCGCTTCACATTACTACCCCGGTCATTGGATCAAACACATATGGAACACATACTCAGCTCCCTGGGGAGAATTCCATAATATTGCAGCTAGTAATCAGCGCAGTTGTGTTCGAACCTACCAGGTACCCACTTGTACTCCTGGGTGGAGAGAGGCAACTGTTGTAGATAAAGTGCCTTGCCCAAGGACACAAGCGATTTGCACAACGAGAGTTTCGAACCCCCGACCTCGAGGTTGGGAGTCCAAGCCACAACCGATGCGCCAAACGCTTCCACAATGAGACACAACACATTGTTTTTACTCTTGTTTATTTTGTCTTCCTCTATTTGATGCATGTCCATAATTTTATTCATACAACTTCATGCAAATTATTTATCATTTCGTCGTTTGTAACTTAACTGCTTGTTGGCACTATATCGCTGATTTGTGATGACGGTTGACGATAAAGATGCTTATTATAGCAATTACCATATTTGAAAAAAATGGACTACAAAACGCATTTTTTACTGTATTTTTATTCATATTTCGTCAGTTTCCTTTATCCACAAAATAGAATTTCATCAAATAAAATTTAGAATGATACACGTGCACAAATTTTGTCCTTTATCCACGAAAAAAAACCATTTTTTAAAATAATTTTATTTTTATGTCTGTTGTCTGTTCATGTTATCTTTTCATACAAGATCGGATGTAAAATAACACATTAGCGAGGGTGATGAAAGTGTGTTATTTACAAGAGTTGGAAAAAGAAATCTAGAGTAAATTTGTCAATCATTCTTTAGGAATATCTCTCTATTCTCATGCCCTTAATGTACATACACTTTATATAATTAAAGCCAATCAATTAATTTTCTCAATCAAATATTTAATTTATTGGTGATTTAAAATTCAGGTCTTTATATTTACATTACTGAATAGTAAACAAGTGCACATGTAAAAAATGAGATCTATAATCGATAACAAGCAATGATGTTTACCTTTAACAATTATTATCGTCAAAATGTTAAAAATCTTGCAAATATGTTGCTTGTGTTAACCATGGTGTAAGTGGCAGCGCAAAGCCGAAGGTGTCGGCGGCCGAAGTTGGCCTAAAGCGTAGGGTCTAGACCCTACGCTTGAAATCATTTGATTCGTTTCAGGTGAATTGATACTTGTCAAACAAACTAAAACTGTGCAAAACAAAAGGAAGTTGATAAGAAGGATTAATATTCTATTTTGTAGGGCTGCCTAAGCCTAGCCTACTAGGCCCTAAGAGGAGGCTAGGCCTACCTATGTAGTAGTAGTAGGGCGTTCCTATAAAAGGAAACCACTCAATACGAGTGGATGCCACTTTAGTTTGAGCTAGGCCTGTGCCGTTTCAAGTGAAAAAAGGACAAGTTTTGCGAACATTTGCAGTAACTTGTGCAAATCTCTTTATTTGAACTGAACATAATAATTTTTTTTTTTCACCCTCTTCAGATTCAATTATTTTTGCTATGATTATTTAGCTTTGTTCTTCTGTTTAGTAATGGTAAGGAGGGAGGTTTTTTTTTTTCGAACATGAAAAAAGAGTGTCACAAAGGAAAACAGCAAAACAAAGAAGAAAGCAATAGAGACCAAAATTGCATACAAGAAAATTATGCAATTCATAGAAAGCAGAAACTTTACCTATGAATAAACATTCATACTGCAATTATCTATATATACTGTATATATACAATTCACTAAAACACAACAGGCATCATGGATGATGATGTCATGTGAACAACATTCGAGCATAGAACTGCAAGTGGTCTGCCTAGCGTTCAGATGGACGGTAAACAAACGTATATTAAAATGGAGTTTGTGAGAGTTTTGTAAAAAAAAAAAATTGGATCGGTGGCCTCTCTGATGGTAGAGAGAAGATGCTAACCAATTATTTGTTTTTTACATGGCCTAAGGGCACAGCATCATCATCATAGACTAAGAGTTAAAACAAATTATTAAACATTAAAAATGTATTTCTTATCTAAGCAGCCTAATGCAATAGTTTGTGAGATATTATTTTATATTATTTGCCTGTTTGAGAAAAGTGCTCTGTTTTATGTTTGATTTGCTTATGGAAATGACAATTTGAGCAAATAACATGTTTTTTCCTGATAAAATTGGATAGTGTGATCAAACCTTAAAGTTGAATGTATACTATTTGATATGTCATGTAAAAACTCAAATTGAAGCCCAGTGGGCTTAATCTCAAGATGAAGCCCATCTTGAGTTGAAGCCCTTTCTCTAGTTGGCAGAATTATCCTCAAATAAAACATCTGGCTTCTTTTGAGATAGTACAGTACATACACTGTACATGAATATCACATAAAATAAATTAAAAACAAGCTTTTCTTATACAGTAGTTTAGGTGATTTAATGACAGATATTGCCATAATGTTTTGTTTTCAATAATTTTTTCTTTTCTAATTATGTATGGCCTTGCACGGCCTTGATGAAAAGCACCCATGGGTGATCCAAGTGTCTCCGTGTTTAAATAAAGTGCTGTATATTATTATTATTATTATTATTATTATTATTATTATTATTATTATTATTATTATTATTATTATTATTATTGTTATTATTATTATTATTATTATTATTATACAGGTTGATGCCTTAGCATTCATTTTGAAAATGATGATTTCATATGACACACAAATATGGAGATATTAATGTAGTCTATTATTTTTCATTCAGGTATGCATAGACACTTAATCTGTACTGCGATTGGTAGTGTCATCGGTTGGTACGCATATCGTTATGAAGTGAACAAGAACGCCCAGCTTGAGTACAGGAATCGTACATACATGGAAAGACACCCCGAGCTCTTCCCACCTGGTAGGTACACACGTTTTGGATAGTGGCGTATCTAGGCCTAGCTTTAATTGTGTTATGCTCTGTCATGCTTTTAGTTTACCTATATAAGGGCTGTACATTTCCCCCTGTGCACACTCTCCTCCCTGTGAAACCTCTCTCCCTGTGCACTCTCTCCCAAAAGATACTTGCATCCCCTTTTTGTCATTAAAAATGTTCAAAGCAACAAACATCATGCTCAGGTAGTTAAAAATCATCTTATTTGTTTTGGCCCTATCATGTTTTTAGATTGATGAATTATAATCATAGCCAAATTGCCAAATTCACAGCCAAAATATCCCAATTGAAAATATTCAAAGCAAAAAAACTCATGCTCAATTACTTAAAAATCACCTAATTTTGGGAGCTACAATCCCCCCAGCCTAACCACCGAGGGGCCCCACGTCACCCTCTCACCCCTATTTCAAGACTCTTAGATACCTGTCTGGTTTCAGATACCTTTTATTGTTCAGAAACTGTTGTGAAAAGTAAGTCCAGGTCTTATAATTCTGGTCCTGAGTAATTTTCTGGTTCTTTTGGAAGGTATTATATAGAACAATATTATGATTAAAAAAATGATAAATTACAGTATATTGTTTTAAATATTTCAAAACATCCAAACATAGAATTTCAAGATTTTTAATTGTCAGACTTGAGCTAATTAAAACCTACTGTAAATCCTCGCATAATCAAGGCTTCAGTGCAGAGCTTATTTTTGTGAGCAGTGCTTATTCGAGAAATGCACTAGAGACAGAACATGTACATAGA